TTGGGGCTCCCCAGGCGTTTCTCTGCCTTCCTTGGGTCTCTTCAGGGCAGCCAGACTTCAGTGGTGACTTGGGCTGTAGTGTGTGGGGCGTGCGGCTTGCTCGGCCTTCTGAGAGCAGATTGTGGGCAGCTCTCCAGCTCCACAGTTTGGGGACTTGACATTGGTAGCTTGCGATCAGTCACGGTAGGTGTATTTACCCAGATGTCAGCAAACGCTAAGAACCAGATTCTTTTTTCCTCCTAGAGGGCTGGTTGGTAAACGTTTAGCCGCACTCCACCAGACTCAGGGCTCCCAAGGCACACATCCTGAGAGAGTGCAGGCAGTGCTCTATCTTCTTTTATGACCCAGCCTTGGAAATCCCTTAGCAATGTCACGTCTATGGCGCTCTAAAGTTGAAGCGGTCACAAAGGGCTGCCTGTGTCAAGGAGAGGGGTGTGGACAGTGGAGAATGGCCAAGTCCTAGCAGAGCATGTCAGATAGGCTACATTATTATACCAACTGTGGTCTGTGTAGCATCATGGGTCCTGGAAACTGTATACCATTAGCGTCCCCCAGTCACTGTGCCAGCCAATAACATGACTGCCCCCCCAAAACACACACAGTCCCAAACAGCGGGGCATTGATGTGCCTTACGTATCCCATACTGCCCCAGCCAGTGGGTGGCATTCAGCCGTGTGGACATGGTGGCCACGAGCTCCTTATGGCCCTCAGCAGAGCATCCCAAACAAGGATTTTGTATACTCAGGGCTCATAAGGTACATCCCCTGAAGGTCCTTGCTCCTTGGTGAAGCCTGTCTGCCCTAATTTTGCGAGGGGGCCACCCCAGCTCCAGAGATCCCTTGTCTGCCAGTGACCAGCCCAGTCTTAAGGTGAGCCAAGCAGGGGAACCACACTCCGGTGAGTTTCACGTCCATGACAGGCAGACTGGTGGACTTGCTATTAAATGGCAGCTAATTGGGGCGCCTGGGTGGCTCAGTCGTTAAGCGTCTGCCTTCGGCTCAGGTCATGATCCCAGGGTCCTGGGATCGAGCCCCGCATTGGGCTCCCTGCTCAGCGGGAAGCCTGCTTCTCCCTCTCCTACTCTCCCTGCTTGTGTTCCCTCTCACTGTGTCTCTCTCTGTCAAATAAATAAAATTTTTAAAAAAATAAAATAAATAAATGGCAGCTAATTATTAATGCAACTAAGAACAACTTGGGGGAAAAAATCACACCCTGTTTCTTAAGTCTTATAACCAGTCACACTGTATCAGGGTAAAGTGGGTGTTCCGCATTTTGCCATGTCCATGGATCACTAGCCTGATACAGGCGTCTTTCTTTTTTTCTAAGATTTATTTATTTATTTTAGAGAGAGATCGAGCAAAAGCAGGAGGGGCAGAGGGAGAGAGAATCTCCAGCAGACTCCATGCTGAGCGCAGAGCCCGACATGGGGCTCAATCTCACAACCCTGAGATCATGACCTGACCCAAAACCAAGAGTCAGATGCTTAAATGACTGCGCCACCCAGGTGCCCCTTAACAAAACCTTAATCAACTTATTTAAAAATAGTAACAGCTGTCATGAGTTGAGCACTTACGGACATTAGACAACATAACAAGCATTAGATCATTGAAGTCTCTTAACCCAGGGCAACCTCCCATGATCGTTTTGCCCATTAAACAAGATGATGGGATTCTGTGAGAGGCCCCAGCTCCAATGCTCAGCACAATGGCTTCATAAGGGCCCAATAAATGTCACCAGATGAAAAAATTGTAGCTGAAAGTCTGTTCACCATTCTTTTATGATGTGTAATAATGCTAGCAACTAACATAATTTAGTGTTCAATATTAATTGAATATCACTCTTATTTCTGAGACACCAGCGATTTTTCTTAAACGTTTTACAAATATTAACCCGTTTCATCCTTACAACAACCCTGTAGAGTATGTTAACATCCTCGTTCTCAGAGCACGAAGAGATTAAGAGACAAGCCCTTGGTCACAGAACTAGCTAGAGGCAGGGCTGGAACTTGAACCCAGGCCGGCAGGATCCAGCCCCCGAGGCACTCATCGCGGGGCTCTTCAGTCCCGATGGGGAAGATGAAATGAGTTTCTCACTAGGTCTGAGCCCAGTCACTCAGTTCTCGTTAAATAAAAGTGTTTCACCTTCCTGTGCCTCAGTTTCCTCATCTGTGGAGTAGGTTTCTGATGTGATGATTCGTTGGCTCGTTCACTTAACATCTCTTCATTGCACACATATTGTGTGTCGGGCACTGGTGTGGACACTGGGTATCTAGTATGCTAAACAAGCCCTCATGGTGAAGAAGGTACTAAGTAGGGGCGCCCGGCTGGCTCAATCAGTAGTGCGTTCGACTCTTGATCTCAGGGTCATGAGTTTGAGCCCCATGTTGGGTGTAGAGGTTACTTTAAAATAAAATCCTTAAAAAAAGAAGGTATTAAGTAAATTATATATACTTTTGTGTGTGGTGTATTAAGAGGTGATAAGAGCTTTAGAGAAGTATATGGTAAGGAAAAGAGAAGGGGGAGTAAGGGGTGGTCATGAACTCCTAAAATAGGGTGGCCAAGGATGGTGTCATGGAGATGCTGACATTTGAGCAAAGACTTGAAATGTGGAGGTGAGCATAGAAATCCTCTGGATCCAGGTGGAGGGAAGAGCCTATGCAAAGGGCCTGAGGTGTGGAGGCTCATTTGGCTGGGCAGAGCGGGTGAGGAGGAGATGAGAGCAAGCAGGTGATGGGGGCAGACTGTGTGGGGCCTTACGGACCACAGTGAGGACTCTGCCTTTATCCTGAATGGGGTGGAGCCCTGGGGGTGGGGGGTCGGTTCTGAGTAAGACAGGAACAGGACCTAATTCAGGTGCTTATACCCGACCTGGCTACTAGTGAGGAACAGACGACTCAGGAAAGAAGCAGAGAAGACAGTGATGGCCCAGGTGGGAGGTGTATGAATGTGCGAGATCCCCAAGGGAGTGAGTGGTGATGGAGAATACAGGAGGTTCAAACACCAATCTCTGACATTTCAGATCAGATGGAGGATGAACAGCCAAAGAGACTCACTAGGAGTCACCAGGCGAATGGGAGGGGTCCAGAGGGTGTGGTGGCTTGGAGCCAAGTGAAGAGGGAGTAACCCTCAGTGTCGGTGTTAGTGTCAAAGTGAGGACTGAACCCTGACTTTGACTGAGCACCAAAGGGGTCATTGGTGACCTTGACATTACAGGGCAGGGGCGGCGGCGGGGGGGGGCGCAAAGCCTGATTAGAGAAGGTTTAAAAGAGAACAGAAGTAGAAAATCTGGAGGCAGAGACTGGTGACAACTTTTTTGAGAAGCTTTACCATAAAGAGAAGCAAAGAAATGGGGCCATAGCTGGAAGGGGGGGTGAAGTCAAGAGAGGGTTTGTTTCCAGACGAGAGGGATGACACCATGTGGGCTGCTGAGAACGATCGAGTGCAGAGGGGGATTCCAAGGCGCAGCAGACAGCGACAACTGTGAGACTGTGTGACCTGGAGTGGGCGGAAGGGGTGCGAGCAAGTCACACAGAGGGCTGACGTTTGCAGGGCAGTCACCGTGGGAAAGCCAGAGGCCCCAGGGCAGGTGGGTGGGTGGTAGACAGGGTGGTAGGCACCTGTGAAAGTTCACTTCTCATTGCTTGTAATTTGTTTCTGCAAAATAAGAAGCAAAGGGAGAATGAAGAGGTGGGAAGAGGTGTGATGAGCTAAGGGCTGGGGGAGAGAAGGTGTGAAAGAGTTATCTACAGAGAGGAGGAGCCTGTGAGTAACAAATGTTATCTGATTGTCAGGCAGCCTTCCCGGCCTGAGGGTCAAGTTCACAATCTGGAAGTGAGACCAGCCAGTGGAGTTGTGTGTTCTTCTGTCACCTTAAACTGGGTACAGCCACAGGACAGGCGGAGGGCTGGATTGAACCAGGGTCACATGCTGGAGGAAGCTAGGGACAAGGATGTGGGCAAAGAATGTTTTTAATGGTTATCAAAGCAACTTAAGCTGGGTAAGGAAGAAATGAGGACTTGAGGGCTTGAGGGGCCATGAAGAGGAGGTAGACACAAAGGATGCGGGACCACAGTGGGCTGGAAGGATTGTGGGGAGGGGGTCTGGGGCACTAGAAGGAAAGAGCTGGAGAGAGAAGGGGTGAACAGTGGAAAGTGAGCTCCCTGAGTTGAGGTTCTGAAGAGTCTGGTTATGGAGACAAAGTCTAGGTGTGACCATGAAAGGGAGAGGCTAAGAGGAGAGCTGGTCAGGGAGCAGAGAGGCAGGTGGCTGAAGGAAGGATATCTACTTGGATGTGGAAATTGCCAGGAATGTTGAGAAGAGCAGCCTGAGTGGCGGGGAGCCTGGAGCTAAAATCATGAAGCGGGCAGTGATCTAATCAGCAGCTGATGCACCAGGCAGGGTGGTGAACTATACTCTGAGGACACGGGAATCATAGCTGGGGGAGTTCGGGGGAGGAAGGAAGAATGGTCTGGAGGCAGCACCAAGGGGCAAGATTTACCCACTCGGAAGGGCCACAGGGGAGCTGGGTTTTGGTTAGAGCAAGGCGATAAGAATGTTAAGTGAAGAGATTTCAGGAACTGAAGATAGTTCATGAGTTCCAAAGGTCCGAGGGGTTGGGACAGGTTGGGGTATGCGGTGGAGATGGGCCGCCGCCTCGAGTTTTTTTGTTTTTTTGGTTTTTTTTTTTCTGTGCTCATGATCATACACGTAAACTGCTTAGCTTGACACAAATGCACCGGCCAGATATAGAAGCCGTGGTTAGCAGTCCTGGGGGAGTCCTGGTCAGACCAGGGCCCTTTCGCTCGAGGGGGAAAGCTGAGAAGCCGATCGCCCTCAGAGCCAACTGGCAGTAACTAGGTGCCCGGGTTTCACGGGCCGTGGCATTCCCCCGGCCCCCCACTGGAGCTGGTGGGGTCGTGATCAAGCCGCAGGGACCTTGCGGCCTGGGAGAGGTGAGGGAGGCCGAACTGCCCTGATCTGCTGACCCCTCTCAACCCGCAGGACTCCGGAGGCCGGAGATGGGCGCCCGGCCCTCGCGGCGACGGCTGCCCGCGGACCCGCCCCTAGCCTTGGACGCGCTGCCCCCGGAGCTGCTGGTGCAGGTGCTGAGCCACGTGCCGCCGCGCGCCCTGGTGACGCGCTGCCGCGCCGTGTGCCGTGCCTGGCGCGATGTGGTGGACGGGCCCACCGTGTGGCTGCTGCAGCTGGCCCGCGACCGCAGCGCCGAGGGCCGCGCACTCTACGCAGTGGCCCAGCGCTGCCCGCCCAACAGCGAGGACGAGGAGTTCCCGCTCTGTGCCCTGGCGCGGTACTGCCTGCGCGCGCCCCTCCGCCGCAACCTCATCTTCAACTCCTGCGGAGAGCGTGCGTGCCGGGGGCGGGGCGGGGGCGGGGCCGGGTAGACCGAAGTGTTGCGTAGGAAGGGGGGCCAGGCCGAGTGGGCGTGGCCGGGATGCATGGGGGGAGACAGGGCGGGGCCAGGGCAGGGAGCCAAGGGGCGTGGCCAAGGGAAGAGGCTATTGAGAAACTTGCCAGGCGGGGCTGGGAAAGAGATGGACTGGGTGGGAGGGGCCGGGTGCTGTGGGCTGTGGAGGGAGGCTAACCGGGTAGGCAAGAGCTGGACGAGCCAAGGGCCCTGGCGGGAATGACGCGGGCTGGGACTGTAGACTCAGTGGGCGGGGCTAAGGAGGGAGGAGCCAGGGAGGACTGAGGAAAAGCTGATTGGGTGCTGGCGGAGGCGGAGCTTGCATAGAACTATGAGGCCACCCTGAGCCTGTGGGGAGGGGGAACTGACCGAGTGGGCGGGGCCAAGGCAGGAGGAGCCCGAAGCCTGTGGTAGGAGAGGGCGGGGCCATGATGGCACGAGCCCGGGGCGGGGCCAGGGAGAAGCCGAGTAGATTGAGGGGCTGAAGGGAGGGCTGGGGGCGGGGCCGAGTGGGGCCGAGGAGAAGCTGAGTGGATGGGCAGGGCTGAGTGACGCGGTCGTGGGGTGGGACCAGGAATGCCGGCGGCTGGGAGGAGGGGCCAGGGTCGAAGAAACCGGGCGTGGAGCGCGGGAGGGAGGAGTTGGTGGGCGGGGCAAGCAGGGTGGTGGCGGGCGGTTCTCTGGGCTGGCGGCAGGTGAATCCGTCGTCTTCAACCCTGTTGCATCCCACAGAGGGCTTCAGAGGCTGGGAGGTAGAGCATGGCGGGAACGGCTGGGCCGTGGAAAAGAACCTAACACTGGTGCCGGGGGCTCCTTCCCAGACCTGCTTCGTGACTTCTTTCCAGTGAGTGGTTCTTGATCCCTGGGGCAAGGGCCCCGAGGAGGGAGAGAAACCCTACGCCTCTGTCCTCATTCTCACCCTCACTCACCTTCACCCTGTCCTTCCCTCATTCATTTATTCAGCCAGTCAAATAGTTGTCAAATATTTGTTGAGGGCCTGCCAGGTGCCAGGCACTCTTTTATATGCCAGAGATATAAGGAAAATTCAGAAAGGGGGCGCGGGAGACATGACACACATAAACAGTAAAATAATGATGACAACAAAACAACAAAGAGGAGTTAGTCGATTCCAGCTGCTTTACATGTAACTCTTTGAATCCGGGCAACAACCCTGTGACATGGATAGCATTATTTCCACTTGATAATAGGAAACAGGCACAAAGGGTAGCCAACACCTAATAAATGGTAAAGCTGGGATTTGAACCCAGGTAATCTGGCTCCAGAGCTTCTGAGTCTACAGAGACATCAGAACAGCTGACTGATTGATTCTCTTTATTCTCACACCCCACCCCCATTGTCCTCGCTCCCTCCCCCCGCCCCCGTTCAACCATCCTCCTGTGGCGTTATCCAACTTTCTAGTAGTTGCCATTATATTAGGGGTGAAGTGATGTCTCACTGATGTATTGATTTGCATGTTTTGATTTACTAATAATTAAGCATCTCTTCGTGTGCTTGTTAGCTTTTTGGATTCCCTCTTTTGGAAATTGCCTATTCATATTTTCTATTAGGGTTGATATCTCATTCTTTTTTTAAATTTTTATTGCTATGTTAATCACCATACCTCATTAGTTTTTGATGTAGTGTTCCATGATTCATTGTTTGTGTATAACACCGAGTGCTCCATGCAGAACGTGCCCTCTTTAATACCCATCACCAGGCTAACCCATCCTCCCACCCCCCTCCCCTCTAGAACCCTCAGTTTGCTTTTCAGAGTTCATCGTCTCTCATGGTTCGTCTCCCCCTCCGATTCCCCCCTTCATTCTTCCCCTCCTGCTATC